AACTACTTTCCATTTCCATGAACTTGCACTAAAAATGCATCTGCCAGGAGATGCTCCTGCACTTGATATCATGTTTCTTCTCATTTTTAATATTTACCTGCAGGCTGACAGGTGATCCTCATTCTACCTATTGGCAGACTGTCTCCGCTGCATGTCAATGCAAACTTCATGGCTGACGTTGCCTGCATTTTCCTTTTAAAGAAAAGGAGAAAAAAAAGTCAGAATTTCAATAAAAATATATATCTTTTACAAATCACAAAAGTACTTGTTATAAAGAAGAGTATTTTAGCAAAAGGTACATAGTGTGTGACCTTGCAGCAACAGCAGTCTGCTAAACTTTTACTTTATTATAAATACTAACTATTTTTTCTCTCATTGCAAGGTTAGGCATATTCATGTTGTCCATACAGAAAATACAATAGCAAAGTATCCATAATAAAAAGTCATAAATAAATACAATGTATTCATAGCAGAACATAATAAACTGGAGGTCACATTTTTTAACTTAACATTATAAGTTAGGGCTTTTTTTCAAATAAAATGAAAACACAAAGTTAACAAAAAGTTGTCTGGAATTTAATGCAAAAACACAGGTTACACAACTCCACTATATTTTCAATCCTGCTTTTTTCATCAGTTTAAGATGAAAGACATGGGGTTAACTAGTTTGCACTGGCTCAAACTGTAAGAAAATTAATTCGCAAAAGCACATCTCTTGTTTAACAGCACAGGTCAAATATTCTCAGTCGTAGTCTAAATAGAGCATGCTTAGACTTCAGGGATATTCACTGCTCTGAAAAGCATGCTGATTTTGCTCTAAGAATAGATCAAACTCTGAGCCCCTGTCCTATTTTGTTCTCAGCTGGCAGGATAACACAAAAATAATCCAGAGAGTGGAACACACATTTGAACATATCTGCCGTTGCCTAAGTGAGATTCAGCTTGAAATCGGGCTAAAAGTGGCCCTCTTTTTCTCTAAAATGACAGATGCTTTGCAATACTGATTGTTGTAGCCTGCAGGGCTTTTGGGACAGGGATGCAACATCCAGATCAGAGCAAGTATGTTAGAAAAAAGAAGTTGAGTCTGGTGCTTTCTATTAAGAGTCCCCCAAAAAGACTTTGTCTTGCACCAAATGTCCAAGTGCAACAAATTATACATCAAACTCCTCAGTGAATTACTGTCAGGAGACATGACTTAGATATTACACCCATAAACGGGACACAGCTTACATCTTAGGAGTCAGTATTTCTGCACTTGCTTTACGTGCAGCTCCTTAAAATTCACATTCTTTCTTGAATTAATACTAGCTGCGAGGCCTGTAAAAGATCGCACCAACAAACGAGATTGTAGAAAGCGATCTGATGCTATTGCTGCCAACACCATCACGTGAGTCCCGGACTGACCAATCCCTTGAACGCTTTAACTATTTCTGTCTCACCCTCGAGATATTACTGTTATAACACCCACTCAGTTATGACAACAACACAGCTGTATGAAATATGGGCTTTTTTTTACTTCATTTCCCCACATGTAACACTCCCCTCGTGTCCCAGAGTTGGACTTTTTTTTTCTTTTTCTCGGTCCTTTACAGGCCCCCATGCAGCATCACCGCGATGCCCAGAACACGAACCCAGAAAGCAGCAACATTCACGCCCTCACACGCATGCAGGTGGCTCTTCCGAAAGGTGCTAGCGCCCATTCTGCAGAAGTCAATTAACATTTGCTTTAAAAAAGACAATACGAAACTAAAACAAAAAAACAAAGGCCGCGGGGCTTCCTGGCATCCCCTGTCCAGCTCCTCCGTTGATCGGCGGCGTTCGGCGGCGCTCAGACCGCTTCAGAACCTCCGTCCCTCCCGCTTTCCTCCTCCACAGCATCCTCTCCTCCTCCGCGCCGAGCGAGCAGACCCCCGGGGCTCCGAAGCACTCGGCATCAGTTGGTACTTTCGGTTCTCTAGCTTTATGAAATTAAAACTCATACAGCTAGATAACCAAAGACACAAACTAAGCCGCTGTCTCTTAAAGGGGCCGACTCGCTGATGGTGTGTGGTGGGGGGGACCAGAACAGAAAAAGGGACAGAGAGGGAGAGCCTGCCTCTGTGGTCACATCACACACAGTCCCTCACACACTCTCTCACGCGCTCTCACACAGGAGGGGAGTGAGATGCTCAGCACATTAGAATAGACATCCACGTGCACTTTAACACTTTAGAGGTGAAAATGAGTTACCGTAGTATGTATTTGCTTTTTAAAAATATAGTTTAACGCAAACACACACATGGACTCACGCACCTCTAATTGACGGCCACCGTCCATCCAATTCAACTCTGGTGACATCTCATGTTGAAATACTCCTCTGCCAAAGCAAACCCCGTGTTTTAAAAAGTGAGATCAACACAGACCTTGTGCTTAAAACAGCATTTTGGGTTGAAAACAGAAGGCCAGACACTATATACTGGTCACATGTGCACGCCCATCAACAGCCAAACGGGTTATGTTTTGCACATATAGGGCTGTCTATTGCACGCTTTGCACGGTGAGGTGAACCTTTTCTTTGCTGCCTTAAGCCTTTTCAAAGTTGCAATCAAGATTAATTGAAGCGTAGGCCACGTTTTAATGTCACAGGCTTAGTTAACACTACTTGGAAACACAAAAGCCACAACTCCCGTCTTAATGGATTAGATAATGAAGCCTGTAGGTATAGCACCAAACTTAGAAAGAATAAAGGTTGTTTCAATAACATTGTCACCAGTAATGAAGCCAGCATCCTTACTTACTTGCACACCAGGCTAACTCCACTCCACCACAGTCAAAATGATATTCTCCACCCTGACTTGGGTTTTTTTTTCTTTAAATCAGCGTCTGCAGTTTTGATCTCCGATGAGAAGAAAGAGGGTCAACTAGGTTTAGTAGAATATGAAAGAATACGAGGTGTTCTAGATGTAGACGCGGACTTGTAAAAAAAATACAGCATCCTCTCCCTTGGACTCGCAGGCTGCGACTGGCAAGTGCGGAGAGTCCACTGGGTGAGCAGAGGGGATAAACTCCGCCTCAGAGAGAGACGGTGAGACGGGGAGAGAGAAAGGGAGGCGGGAGAGGCAGAGATTATCGAAGCCAATTTGAACATGAATGCAGGTGTGTGTCAATCAGGGAGTCGATTCCCCCAATTATCCTCATTAGTCAGGCCGCGAGGAGCGCGCAAACCGTTACAAAGAGCCGCAGCAAACCTAAGGTTGTGATTACACACAAGTAGAAGAATCTCTGTTTGAAAAAAAGCCGTTCAGAGAGCACAATGGAAGATCAAACGTAAAAACACACTCTCATACACACATTTTTATATGTACCGCATCCCACAGGAACAAATCATCTGCGAATATATGCCTGAGAGCTTTGTTATTTAGATGGTAGTTTGGTTCACACGGTCGTTTCAAGGTGCAAAACTAAAAGTTGGGAAGCAAAAACTCTAAATTTGTTACGATAAAAGTCTTTGACTGATGAAAGTCAGTTAAAAAGTCAAATAATGTGCCAAATAAACCTTCTCCTCTGTTCACACTGTGAGAAACATATCATGTGATTACATATCCTTCATATTATGGGAACATCTGTTAAGTAGCCACTGCTATACCTGATTGTGGCTGTTCCATTCTTTTTTCTTTCTTTTTTTTTTACACTATAATGCTGACGTTTCCCAAATGTTTAAACGTACAATAACGTGTCAGATGACATTAAGTGCGCGTCAGTGCGCAGAATTGTCTCTGTAAATTAGATATGTTGCAGCAGGGTCGCTTTCTAATTTCAAAACCTTAACAAAAAAGAAATTCAAGCTCTATCTTTGGTGCAGGAAAGCCCCAGTATAGTCAAATGGTGATAGCATTCAAAGCCGTGGCAATGTGCAGCCTTATCGAACGCCACAGTTATATGAATGATACCCGGGGTAAAGAGATGAGATGGAGAGCGTGATTACAGACATGGTGGAAGAAACCGGTTCGAGACAAGACCAGGAGAGCAACTTGCAATATCTATCCCAAGTTAAGAAAGGATATTTCAAAATACGTGATGGAATCTGTGTGAGTGCGTGTTAGAAAGTAAGCCCCCACCCCCCCAAAAAACTTTCCCAGCTTGCATCAGATAGCAGTCCCATATCTGATTATTGCGCATGAGCAATCGTGGAGGTGCAGCTCCCCTGTCAGGCTGCAGCACAGGTCAGACTTTGCCGCGTGCATCCGCATCTTTTCTAAACAGATCTAATCAGCTGTGGCCTTCTGCAAGCTTCCATCCTGTAATTGAACTCCCACTAAAGTGTTAGCACCCGGAAAACAAGAGGGAAAAGAGGAGGAAGGCATGCACACGTGCTGTTAGATGTATACGCCCTGGACAAAAAATGAGCATGAAAGAGGTGCCTTGCATGGTCATTACTGCTCCTGAGCATGCGCATCCAAGCCTGGGAGTGCACGTGCAGTGAGGTAAAGGTACATGGCCCAATGATACGTTTATGAAAAGTATAGAGTTAATGTTCCTACAGAGCCATGCACGAATATAATTCAGAAGCGTTGTTAAAGGCATCAAACCTCTTCTTTAATCGTTATCTTATTAAATTGTTGGTATTTTATTTTTTATTTGACACAGAAAATATTTTATTTAGGTATACAATGAAAGGAATACTATTGAAAGCTATTAAAAAAGTCAAACATTTAATTTAAATTGTTGGAAGTAAGGGTGCTTTTATTTGAGGAAATGTTCGTGGGGGTGTGTGTGTGTGAGAGAGAGGGAGTGTGCGTGTCCTGAGATGAATTTTCCCACAAACAAGTGACAGGGAAAATTTGTCCCCCTCATCAACCTTCCCTCCAAAGAATAAAAAAAGAAAAAAGAAAAAAAAGGAGAAAAAGAAAGAAGTCAACATCAAGTTCAACAACGTGCCGGAGAGAAATTAACATAACAATCCGGTCTGGGATCCTCCAAGTCCCCCCCACCTCACACAACAGAGTCTGGCGTCAGCCCCGCTACACTTTCCCAGGCTCACAACAATATCTCCCAGCTGAACTCTGCACTGCAGCGCTGCCTGGGGCCTCCTCCTCCTCCTCTTCATCCTCCTCCCCATCCTCCTCATCCTCCTCCTCCTCCATCATCACCACCTCCTCCTCCCTCTCGGCACATGAATACTTCTCACTATAAGATCCTCATGAAATATTCTGGAATTTGCTGAAACTAAAAAAAACAACAACAAACCAACTGGCTAACACACAAAAAAAGAAAATAAATTGAGAAAAAATAACAGACATTTACGGTAATGAATTTCTATATGGTGAATTTTCCATTGAAATAATTCTGCTCAGTGGCAGTTGAGTTGACATATATTCTGTTCTTCTCTGTATATATATTTAAAGAAATTGCCAAGGAAAAGGAAAATTCAGCTCGACTGAGGCAGATGTTTTGAGGGATTTTTAGACTTTGTGATTTAGCAAAAAAATGTTCATTCTGATGTTGAAGTCAACACACAAATGGGCCTTTCCTCTTGAACAGTTATATCTAAACAATGATGAATACATCTCAAAATAAGGTAAATAATATTTCACTCACAAGACGTCCACTTACAAATTACAGGAGAATAATCCCTTTGCATGTGCCTGGATTTTAAAAAGGAACCTTCAAGAGAGAGAGTTTGTCTCCTCCTTCTCCCTGCTCCTGATCCACATTTAAACTGGGCAGGGGGAGTTGGAGATACGTGTCCCTGCCCTTTTTTAGCGGTAAAAGTGCACCGCAGAGTCTCCGTGGCTAATAGTTTTTTTATTTTATTTTATTCCTAGGGATATCTGCCCCACATGCACGGAATCTCTTACCGGAAAGGGGTTCAGACAGGAGTGTGAGAGCAGCCGCAGACAGGCAGGGAGGCGAAGGGAAGGGAGCTGCGGAGGCTGCTGGTGATGATGAAGAGGCGGAGGAAGAGGAGGGAATACGGCCGGGCTCAGGGCCTATCAAATTTGTCAAACAGGCCCTCTATGATTTGGAAGGGGAATGAAAGGGGACGCGGCATCACCAGAACGATGGCTCTGGTTTGAAATAGAAATCAGAATCTTACATTTTGAGAACCACAGATTTAAAGAGCGTAAAGTGAATGGGGATGAGTATTATAGGTAAACACACACATACACACACGCGCACACACGGGCTAAACACACAAACCAACGTGTTTGATGTCTAACTCTTCATTTGACACACACTTTTGAGGTTCCACTACCACCTCATCGACTCTATGCAGCACGTTCCATAACGACCGCCATTAAAAAAAGAGCACAAATGGGATTATATTAAATTAAATGACTTTTTATGAATGGTTTGCAGATTTACATCGAGAGAATCTTTTACATTTCAGCAATAAGTCATTATTGGCTGTTTCCCGTCCACTCCAACAGGTCGTGCCCTTTTACCAGAGCACTTTAAAATGAAAGGTCAGCATTTTGGGGGCTCTGGACATGGAGGGACGCGCTCTCCTCGTGGCTTCTTTTGAAGGGCTTTCACGTGTGCATACGTGTGTACAGTATGCATAAAAAGAGACTACAGGAGGAAACAGCGACACTGTTTGGTCAAAAAAAGAGCCAACTCTTTAAAACAGTGACCGTTAATGCTTCGTTTTTCATCAACATTCACGTGCTGCGCGAGAACCTGTGAGATGTAGATAAATAAGGAAGATAAAGAATTAAGGAGAGGCAATTTTTTGCTGACGGAGGTAAACTTTACAGCCTAACTGACAGAAAAAGGATATGACGCGTGACATCAAATATCAACGATTAACTGCTTGTGAGTGTTTCTCCTGGTGTGAATTAAAACTAACCATTCATTTTTATGGGAAGTCATTGGATCTTTTTTGTTAGGAAAGCACATATATGAGGCCAAATAGAGCAACAACCGTGACATCTTTCTAAAGAAGTATTTGCAGCTTGTGTAATTTGTTCCACAACATAAAATGAATAAGTATTCGATTTTTTTGGTCGATTATTTTGACCTTTTTCAAGTATTTGTTTGACCAGTTGGTCAAACTGACTACAATACCAATTTGAAAACACCGAAAGGCCCAACAATGTTAAGGCTACACTATTTTACCTTTACTTTGATTTATTCTTCGTAATGATTCTAATTAGTCATAGCCATCGTGGTCGTCGTAGCATTTTTACTATAATTATCATTATTTTCATTCTTGTTGTTGCTGTTGTCAGGAGAGTTACAATATTGTGTTTGACTGTTTTTAGTGTGTCTGCTCTCCCTCGTTATTTACAATAACACAGGTTTTTGTGAATTACTGTAAGGGTGATGAACACAATCACACTGAATGTGTGAATCCACAATAAGTGAATTTATTGCGCAGTAAATCTACTTATTGAACCTATTGCACAATCATTTAAAATCATACTCCTATATCCTTATATCTAAAAAACAAAACTATTAAATCCCACTGTTGAAACCGGAAATGATGGGGATTTTCCTAAATTTCTTAGAAAATGTTCACCTGTTTATGTTTTGATTCCTGCTTATCTTTGTGTATGTTTATTTCCTCTGATTTTACATGTTTTGCTTTAAGAGTAATTTCAACAAGGTGCAACATACATTGAATTAATAATTTAACACACACCATTTTTTTTACATTTAAAAGCAAATGCTGTTTTGGTAAATTAGTCAATTATTTTCAAAAAGATAGACATATAGATGGCACTTTGGAATTATTCTTTTGATTAACATATTTCACAATGTGTATTCAACAGGTGCCTTAAGAGAAACATTTTTGCTTGAATATGTGAGACGTATTCTCTGAAGCAGACTCTTCATGTACTGGTTTATTTAGCCTTTTCTTGTGTGCTCTGATGCGTAATATTAGCTCTATTTAGTGCGATTAAAGGAGCACACTGTTTGATTGTGTGGGCTTAGCTGTATGCAAAAATACTTGAGTGTGTTTCATTCAAAGCAACTCTTTTTTTAAAGTTTATCTAGTAGTTTTTAAATATCAACATTCACAGAAATGTGTAGGACTTTTTAGACTGTAGATATTTACAGGTTTGTCTTTTGCATATAAATGAAGCAGAGTTGAAAAGATATGAACAATTTCTGTCTTATCTTGCTAGTTAACCAACATACAAAATGTATCTAAATTTTTTTACTGTGAACAGAATGATCTACTACTCCTTTAACATTTTAGGATCATGTCTCTCACTGACATCTGTACAAATAAGTATTTTCACCCCCACATTTAATTGATAAAATTAAATGGGAAATAGGAAATAACAATAAACAATGGCAGAAATGGAGAAATGCTCAGCTTATTCATGTTACTATAATCAATTGTCAAGTTAAAGAAGCATTTTGACAAAAGAATGGTCCTAATGCTCTGCAGGCCTCACATCTGACTGGCTCAACTGTAACAGAATCAAGGCAATGCAATGTCTAAAGTTTGGCCTGTAGAGGAAGTATTTTGAGCTGAAGAAGGCAAAGAAACAAGCATTGGTTTAGATCACAAAAAAATGGTTGCATTCCTACTCATTTTTCCATATCTGCCTTTTTTCGTAGATCTGTGTTTTGCTGTTTGTACATCTATCCTTAGCTATGGCAGGATTAGTGATGCAAAGCCTGAGACTTAACATCAAATCAAATCCTGTAATTTTTTTAAAAGGTGAGTGAGAATTTGTGCAGTAGCAAACTGAATAAACTAAATCAACTAGGAGCTAACAGCAAAATATCCAAATTTCTTCTTAAACTTATTACAGACTGAAATATATTTTAGCACAAATTTGTTTAAAAACGACAACAAGTTTTTTGTTTTTACAAAGAAAGATTAATATCTGGAGTCACTATGTAAATACTCTATTTTGAAACAAGCACACAACAAAACTGTTTAAATGAATTATTTCACGTTGCATCTAATAAGCATAAAAAGAGATTAAAATCAAAATACATTATCAAAAATAAAGAGTATTTTTCCTTTTATGCTCCCTTTAGTCAGTGACAAGTCAGACAAAACAACAACAGCTGATTTAGAGAGAAAAGCACTATGCAGAAAAATGCTCATTTTAGAGTGTATATTAGGGACAGCTTGCAAGCTGCAAAACACCAACTTAAAAAACACAACAGCCACGTTTCCCACTCACCCACCCCTCCCCACACACACAAATACAGGACGAGTATTAGAGTGGCGGCTGAGGGAAAGTTGTGTGGCTGTGCTGCAGCTCTTACCGCGGCGGGCTCCTGCAGACCTGTTAATTCCTCCTCTGCCTGGCGTGAAAGAGGGACGCAGAGCCCGGAGCCCGCCGCCTTAATTTGAAGCACAGGCTGGGTTTTATGATAATGAGAGCTGACACCGACCTGTGAATAGAGGAGGACACCCCCCCCCCCCCCCAGAGCTCGCGTTCCCACGAGCCGCATTCCTGCGGTCAAGTTCAAGCTCAAAAGCGCGAGCCGGCATCACTATGCGAGGCGTGCCGCGTGGCTAATTCCGAAAAGGCGCGCACTCCCCCGCCGTGGGAGAGTTTGTCACCGCGTATTCAAATGCAGCCCCAGACACACACACAGGCCCAGTGTGTGGCTGTCAGCAGCCCCAGAACAAACAACAGAGCAAAAGAGGCTTGTGTTGTGCGCGTCTGTGTGTGTTTTAGACTAAAAGTGTCAATAAATAATAGAAGGGGAAAAGATTTCTAGCTGTAATTAAAAGGTTTTAGTTGTGTAAAGGACAAAAACTTCTCTACAGCTGTAGTAGGACTTACACTATGGATCACCTTCTAAAGTATCTCCGATTAAGTCCTAAAATCTTTAAAGTTACTAAAGGTAGCATTAAAGATTTGGACATTCTTACAATTTCCTGACTCCTGTTAACATTATCAAGAGAGCTTTTTTTTGTCTAAAGGACACAACATTTTGGGTGGGTTTTATAGTGACTAGGGGGGAAATTAGAGCTCTTTCCAGACATCCTTATGCTGCTGTGTTTGTTCTGTTTATACAAAATCTCAAAAGTCTATTCACTGACGTGAATATGAGCTGAGTGTTGTGTTGTGAAGCTCTGGGCACAACAAATGAAAGCCCATTTAATTGAAACATGGAGAAAGGCAAATAAAAACATCATTAGTGAGGTTGCAGCACCTCACGTTTGCTAAGGTTTGTGCTTCTGGTTATGTGCCTGTTGCTTGGTGTTCTTCTAAGATAGATTTTCGCGTTCTCAAATGTGTACATTTCATCTGTACATTAGCTGGACGACGTGGAGAATATGATAAAGGAACACGTTTCATGAAGATGTAACAATATGAAGAGGGCTGCAGTTTAAAAGTCATGCAAAACCTAGATTAATTTAAGAAAAAAGGTTTTGGCTTATTGCATTCAACAATAGAAATCTAGTTTAAAGGCTGAATGGCAGCACCCAGTGTTCCTTTAAGTCATGGCGTTGTGAAAGATTCTGGACGTATACACCTTTCTGATGAGACATTTGTGGATGTACTAAGTTCCAAATTATAAGCACACATATATGCACTATCATGAGAGGCATGTTTTTGAGAACACTGCCAACTAACAGGATGCTCCCTGTCGTTCTCCCATCTGGGGAATTCGTAAAACCATTAAAAACTGCAGTTTGTTTAATCACACAGCAGTTCTCCATATTTCCTCAGTCTACTCTGATCTGGCTTTAGCCCAGAAAAGGCTGAAGCCTTTCTGCACTCAGAGGATCTAAAATTTTAAAATTGTGTAATGATTTACACAACTGTATCTAAACCCAGCAGTGCTATTACCTGAGGACCGGATGGTCTCAGGAACCAAGTGCAGCATTTTGGTTTTGCCCATTGTGGACAGGAATGGCACCAGATTCTTAGTAACCCTCAGTGGTCCCATGTACTGTAGATGATGAATGTTTAATCTTTACAGACTTTTGTTGAAAAAACTCTTTGAAAAGTGCTTCACATTTTTTACAGGCAGTCTTTCGGAGTCTCTGAAACTCTACCGATTTTCACTTCAGAGATGCTCTGTCTCCTTTCCTGATCTCTGCTGAATACTGTGCGTGTGCAAACATGGCCAGCAGCTTCTGTTCAGAGTGTTTGGAGCCGACTGCTGAACTTTTCGTTTGTCCCAATGTACTCAGCACGCACGAGGTTCTATTCAAACGAATTAGACTACGGTAAGTGTTCGGGTTCTGATGAACCATTTCCACCAGGATCCCTTTGTAAGCTGATTTCAGAGGATTCCCATATGTGTGGCATGTAAGTGTGATGTGTCTAGCCATCGTATAATTGGCTGGCTGGGTCCCAGACAGCCCTGTCCCCACCTCCCCATGTTCCTGCATTTGAGGTCCCTCATAACAGTGTCTGCTTTGCTGATCCCAAGTTCCCCGAGGGAATATAAATCCTTCACTCATGATTTGGATTCTCCACCTCGGTCTGTGATAGGAAGAGCAGACTTTTACACCTCAAGAGGTCATTGCCTCTCAATGGTGTCATGTAGTTATGTTTTCAGACTGTTGTGCCGCCCTACTTTGTTTGAAAACTAGACTCCTCGGTCACAGTTTTACACATTGTCGCATCTGCTGTAGCGCAGATGGTTATAGTAGTCGGACTTCTTTTAAACTGAATTAAGGGAAGGTTCTGAATCATCATTTAAGTTTAGCTTTGCTGTTGTAGCCCTTTTACGGGCATGTATACGTTTTCACTAATTTCCTGTTTACAGACCTTCTTGAATAGGTGCATAAAAGGCTGGCCAACCTCATAAAGAAATTTTACGTGCAACTCTCTGAGAGCCTAGTAAAAAAAAAACAGATTGATCAGTGTGGAAGGAAACATCTTATTATGTAATGATGACAAAAAGGGCTGGCCAGGTCAGAGGGGAGATGAACCCCTGACCTGCCCTCAGCTCTGGAGTGTGCCAGTGACCACGGGGCTGTTGATGAGCTTGTAAACTAGTGGACACTGCATTTGGTGACCTTTGGTGTCACATGCTGGACTGCAGATGGATGGTGTATTTTTCTCAGTGGGTTCTCCTGATCAATGGATCAGTGAAGGCAGAAAGCAGCACTGGTGCTGATGTGATGTCAGACGACTGTTCCATCTCAGAAAGTAAAACAAATTTCCCCGTAAAATGGAAATACGATCCCCCAATTAACCAAAGTTATGCATAGATTTAAAACCTTTTTAACTAGTTAAAGACCTCCAAATGCTTTGAAAACATGGGGTAATTGTTTACACAGACTGCTTAGTTTCCCTCTGGAGACATCGGCCTATTCTCTTTGGGGATTATTTAAATGAATGCTTAAAAGAAAATATAACTAATGGCTAAACCTTTTTTGGTGTTCATCCATGATCACTACAGTGTCGTTGTTGCTAGCAAATACATTTAGACACATCCACTCACAACGTCTTACAACAAATATTATACTGTACTGAAACCATATGGTTAGAATATTGCAACGCTTTCCTCCATATTACTGAATGATTGAACGTGATTTATATTCAAAAGAAAGTGTTTAGGGTTAGAAATAGTCTTAGTGGAATAATAAAGGTGTGTTCTGTGTTACCCAGGTCTGATAGCTTGAGTCCTCAAGTAGTGACTTGCTGATGATCAGACAAAGAAATACACAGAGGTAGCCTTTTATTTCTAGTACATATGATTTCTAAACTTTGTTGAATAAATTTATAGTGTTTTGATTATGTTTGATCTTTGTAAATCTGCTCCTCAGCAGTAAAACCTTTTTAATGTTTCCATCAGATGCCATTCATACTCAAATTTTGGTCTGTTTTAAATAGGAATGGGTCTGGTGGGCAGACATTTCCCATCCCCAGTTCATCAGACACAGACACACACACACACACACACGCTCACACACACTCTGCAGGGCAGTCATTTTTCAGTCATACTATGGGCCTCTGACAGGTCTGGGAGAGGGCCTGTTTCCATGTACGGCAGACTGGCAGGACTGACACCTCCATGTAGCATCGCTGATTATGAGCATCTGTTTGGATCTCCCAGTGTAGGGGCCTTCCATAGTCCTCCACTGTTGCCATAGGGACAGTCGTGAACCGTTGGTGGTTTGCGGATCAGACAGACACCCCGTTATTCTCCTGAGAGGTGGCCAGACGTGACCCCCCACAACTCACCCCCATTGATTTGGGTGGGAAACATGGAACAACCATCGATTAAGGTGACAGATCGTTTCAAGTTCATTTTACATACTGTTTGTACAGATCACGTGAGAGACGACAAGAAACTGGAAAGGATTTGGGGTTTAAATGCAGGAAAAACTGCTTTTCTGAATCAGAGATCAGAGTTTCGAACGGTAAATGGTACATTTTTAGTCCACTTTATAGCTACCTTGGGCAAAACTGACTCGTTAAACTGTGATTTGGTTGTAAAAAGATAAAGGGCAAACAAACTGGACATACTAGACAATCACACACCACCCACAGACACTTGCAGACAACATGAGCACCCTTTATTCGCACTTTGCATATATTAGCCTGTGTCTGTGCGCCGAGATGCATTGTTGTGTTTTCCCACACCTCCCTATTTGATGTCTCTTTTGTCACTGTGAATAAAGGCAGACTGATGAATGGGAGGCGGACTGCAGATCCTTTGGAGGGGGAGAGACTCACACTGAGGCCGCAACAGAAACAGCGGGTGACTCCTGCTGGACAAGACGTGAAAGGCAGATGTGAAACCCATCCTTCGGATCTGACCTGAAATCCTTTCAGACTTTTAGTGAAACACTTAGTTTTAATAAAAGTTACTGAAATTTTGAAAAATGTCTCTTGTGTCAACTTTAGAATATGTGAGAGGACGACTGTGCCCTGAAAATTGAATTAGTTTAAGAACTGACATTCATTATACAGACAATGCCTTTGGTAAGTCAGTCTTGGTTTCAAGTTTTGTTCCTTTAATGCAGATATTGTCGTGGAATCTCAGAATCTGTGATGATACAAAATCACCAGATAATAAAATATGTTGCCTATGAAAACAAGGAGTTAGTCAGTTTTTTCTATGTAGATGACATTATGACTATCACATCATAAAGTGGCATTAAGATATTTTTGTAAAGTAAAAGTTTGATAAACACAAGACAACAGTGTTATGAGTACTAAAAAAAAGACTTGAATTTATTGTTGCTTCTAGATAAGTATCATTGGTTTAAGCTTAAGTACTAATCATGTGTCAAACTGGGCAATATTCACTTTGTTGTGATGACTGTAAATGGTAATGAAACAGATGGTAACATTATTGCACAAAACATGATTAAAAAAAAATGCTTCATTCACATATTTCAAATATTTGATTTTAATCATTAAATGATATCATTATGCAGACTCAAGAACCCCAAAATTAAACATTTAAAACTAAGCACCAAACGTTTAACATAATCGCTTGATCATGAAGGACAAAAAACACCAGCAATTCAC